TTCATATGTATATTTTTATACTCTCCTTTCAGTGGCATAGTAGGAAAGATCAGGGACAAATACATACACTGTTTGCTATATTTAACCAGAAAGCCCAATTGTTCAGATAAAAAATTTAAATGGATACCTTTGAGGATTTGTTCTATATAAGAAAAATTACTTTGTTTTTCCCACTTAATACTCCCAAGTGTGTTTCTCCGTCCTTCAGGGATGAAAGACCTTTTGAATAAAAATCCATCTAGATGGGCATAAATAGAGCAGTGGCAGTTGCCACCATAAAGAATATGTGGAGGCTCAGTTTTCTCAGTTTATCAGAGATCCGACAGTTTAAGAGTGTGATGTCAACAATAGGAAAATAGATAAGATACAGTTCAAAATGTAGCACACATTTAAGGCAAAACAGTGTTTACAGCATGGTAGACACTCAATATATGCACGATCTGTCCAGGAGGTATCCAGCCATGTAACATTAAAAATAGACATTTATTGAAGAAGATACAAGGTGCAAGAAACACTGTACATGGGACAATGATACCTCAGTCCCCTTCAAAGTAGGCACCTTGGGACCTCACACAGTTCTCCCAGTCGCCATCAGCTGCCCCGTTGTATTTTCCAAAATCTCATCGATGGTCCGAAATCTCTTCCCTTTCAAAGATGATTTTAATTTTGGGAAAAGCCAGAAGTTGCAGGGCAGCAAATCTAGGTTGTTGGGGTGCTGAGTCACCTGTGTGATTTGATATTTCACTAGAAAACTCTGCACAACACGTGATGCGTGAGCAGGCACACTGTCGTGATGAAGCTGCCAGTCACCAGCTGCCCATAGCTGCGGCCTTCTGAATCATCCCAATAGTTTCAGTGGATGAATGTTCAAGCTTAACCCAAACTTTGATACAGATTCATTGCTCTGCTTGCTCAGTCATCTTGAATGCGATGGCCACACAGTGCACATGCTCACTCTACGCCATCTACTCCCCACCACTGACTAGTGCAGTGAAGTTGTCATCATTCACACATGCGCATGCCAGTCCCCTCTCCTTGGCTTCCAGGTTATATGGATGTCACACAAATCGCTCTTGTTATATTAACAGTGGCTGGACTTTTTCCAGACAGACCTCGTATACTGGTTAAAAATGAATGAATGAATCTTACCAGTATCATGACTTCATAAGCATCACACAACTCATATAACCATGCATCACTAATTTATTCAACAAGCAACTACCATTCCAACACAGTTCTAAGCATGTAATTTTTTAGAATTAGTGTACTTCTCTGTACATGTAATGTGCAGAGAAGTACATTATCAAATGATATATTTTTCTCATTTCCCATCTTTTAAAACATTTTTGGAATGAATTCAAATATGTAGGATTAGTTAGTAGAACATTTTGAAAGCCTGTGTGAAACTATAAAATCCATATTGTTTGTGAATTCAAGAATAATACACATAACATATGTGTTATCTGCTTCAGACAGAAACTAATGGAATCTATATATTTGGGAATATGTGGCATAAATAGATACAATTCTTCTGTAAGTGGTATGATGTCTTTACTAACAAAATCATTTTACTGGAAAGAAATCTGACTGAAATGTAAATCTGACATTACAATTGCAGGTCAAATTTCTACTATTTTGCTTTAAAGTTAAAGTGAAAAATTTTAAAAACTTTGGAAAAAATTGATATTTATAAAAATGCTTCTATGGGGGGAATGGTTTGAATTTTATTCTTCTTACTTTATGCCCTTATTTTCATGGAGTGTATTATTAGATAACATTTGTGGGAATATTTGTGGGAGATGCTGTTGTTTTGTGGGGGTTTTTTTTTTTTTTAGATTTTGAAGTCTGAAGGTCTATTTTTCTGTTCTCGGTTTTGATGGATAGTTTGAATGGGTATAGGATTTCTAAATTTTAAAAATATTTCCTTTAGATTTTCCCTCATATGTTGACTTTCTAAATGGGTCCTCTAAGTTTCCGGTATATTCCTGTCAATTTTCTGTGCCTCTGTTTGTGCTGGATTCTCTGAGAGAGCTTGTCAGCTTTGTCTCCACATGAATCTGTCATGTGTTTTGTTTGCTGTTTCTTCTGTATTTTAATAGCATCCTCTTTTCATTGCACAGACGTACAGGCATCCCTTGGTATCCATGGGGCATGGTTTCCAGGACCCCTGTGTGTACCAAAATCTGTGGGTGGTTAAGTCACTTAAATGAAATGACACTGTATTTGTACATAACCTCTGTACACCCCCCATACATCCCCCATACACTTTATTTTTTGCATTTTATTTTTATTTATTTTTTAAAAATATTTTATTGTTTATGCTATTACAGCTGTCCCAAATCCCCCCACTTGTCTCCCTCCACACAGCCCCCCACCAAACTCCCTCAGGTAATCCCCAAACCATTATCCATGTCCACACTCATATACTGTAAATCAGGGTAGTCAAACCATTTTCACCAGGGGCCACATTAGCCTCAGGGTTGCCTTCAAAGGGCCAAAATAATTTCAGGACTGTATAAATGTAACTACTACTTAACTGCTAAGGAGCTGAAATTACATTTGGGCCTTTGAAGGCAACCACATAGGTGATGTGGCCCCTGGTGAAAATGAGTTTGACACTCCTGCCATATACAATGTAACTGCTATGTAAGTAGTTGTTATACTGTATTATTTAGGGAGGAATGATACCTAACTACACAGTATGTGTCAGCAACAGTGATTCTTTTGGAATATTTTCAACCCACGGTTGGTTGAATCCATGGATGCAGAACCCACAGGTGTGGAGGGCCAATGGTTCATTTTGTGTCTTGGGGATAATCCTGGTGTTTGTAATTATAGTCTCTTGACTGCAGTTTCTCAGGCCTCCGGAGGTCCCTGTCTTTTATTTGTTCGTTTGCATGTTATTTTTTGTCTTTCATGCAAGAAGCTTTGTTCGAACAGTCCCTGTGCTGGAGAAGGGCCACTGGAAAGACATGCCTGCGAGGGGCGTTTTGACTGGCGAACTCCCTCTAGGAAGACTGAGGAAATCACCTGGCTGTTGGTCTGAGTGACTCCTCATGTCAGGCTCCCGCGGTGTTTTCTTTTTGTTCACTTTGTCTCTCTGGGAAGACAAAGGAGTCGGCTTGCTTTTCATGGCTTCACCTCTGTAGACACACTTATGTTTCAGCTTTCCCTCTGTAGATCAGCACTGTGTTTTCAATATTTTAAAATGATGTTGGCAATCTCATCTCCAGTTGTCTCCTGGAGAAGGTAGCAAGTGAGCTGTACCCTGAAGGATGTTTACTGGTCAGTCAGTCTTACAAGTGTAGATGGAGGCGGGGCAAGAAGAGGAAGGGCAGCAACCTTCCAACGGAGGGAAAGGAAATGGAAAATGAGCCAGTGTAATGCATAGGATTGGATGGACGAATGTGTTCCTTCATCTCATATTTCCTTAGGCACATTGCCTTTTCTCTCAACGAATCCATAGGAGTCATCAAATTAAACGGAGTACCTTGATGCAACACTCTTGATTTTTGGAGACAACTTATTCCAATGTCTAGTATCCTAACAGACATCATATGGCTATTTCACCCATATGAAAAGTAGTAAATTGATCATATGTAACGCTTTAATGAAAATGGCAATGAAGAGTGGTATTATTAGGAAGGAAAAGAATTGATGAGACTGCTCCTTATAAAGTAGCTGTATTAGAGATTTTTTTTAATTTTATGGAAGAATAAAATAATGAAACCGTGCATAGGAAACAAAATATCATTTGACTCAGTTTCACTGATGGGCCAATTCGGATGTAAGTGGCTCTCCAGTTGCTGGAAGGTTGGACGGACTTCCACAGAACTCGTTTACATGCACATTTATGGGTTTGAAGAATCGAGCTTTTAAACTCTTCTAAGAGTAATGGAGTTATGAAAAACATGTTATGCATGTATGTCTCCATCTAGGTAAGTTTCAAAGAAGTATCTTTATTTTGTAATTTCAACTTCTTGTTTACATGCACACATTTTTTAAGCTACCAAAACTGATATTATTATGGGGAATTGACAAATAAAAAATGTACAATAATTACACCACTCCTCAAGAATAATTGTTTTAATATTCGGTTTGGCCATTTCTCTCCAACACAGAATAAGAGGCATGGCTACTTTTTAAATTTCCTGGGCTGTACACTTTTCCCATTTCATTAAATTGTCTTTGAGAAATTGAATTCTAATGATGGCACACTGGTCTTGAAGCCTGCATTCAGAAAACATGTCAGTATTATAAAGCCAGGGAGCATCCATTAGTCATTCCCTGACAGACCCAGCACTGGGGAGAGAGGGATCAGGGGGGCCTGAGGAAGATGAAGAGGTACAAGTGCTGAAGAGCCTGCGTGGGGCCAGCAGGGGTGGCTATCATGGATGAGGCCACCACATTCCTGGTGTCTCTGACCTTGGACTCACTTAACGTTATAGTCTGGATTCTATTAAAGGAGTTGCATGTTTTTTTTCTCTTTGTAAGAATCACCCCCTACCATGACAAATATTTAAAAATGTTTTTTTTTAGTTGGAAAAGCAACTTTTTCCCCAAAGAAATTTATAGTTCAAATTTACACCAAGTTCTCACTAACTGGAGCAAGCGGGGTTTTCGGGACAGCGTCAGCTTTCCTCTGTAAAACATTAGTCACTCCCCTGGAAGAGGCAGTTTTTATAGGCAGTTGGATAAAACAGCCACAGATGTGCATGGGAAATGATGGGCTTAAGAATGTACCTGCAAAGCGCTTTCTTTTTTTTTACTTTGGAGGGGAAAAAAAAAGATGAAAGATAGAAGACTAAATTGGGATGCTAAAATAACAGTGATTCTGTATTGAGGAAATGATAAGTTTTTGATCCGTTTCAAACAGCGTTTTCTTTTCCCCTTTCCTTTATTCTTGGGAAGTTCTTGAGAGAGTGCCAAGTCTTTCACTGCACAATTTTTAAAGGTATTTGCCATTCCCATGTGTAACTGCCTGCCTTTTTACTGTGCAGGGCTGTAGTGACGCCTGTGGCCAACGAGTTTAATCCAGACATGGTCCTAGTTTCCGCCGGATTTGATGCATTAGAAGGCCACGCCCCTCCTCTGGGGGGTTACAAAGTGACAGCAAAATGTAAGTATATCCTTTGGGGTTTTAAGACATGCTATGACATAACATCTTTACATTTGTAAAATAGACGGCACCTTTTACAGGGGTCTAGTCAAGTTAGGTGAGACTTTTGAAATGTTTCAGATGGTGTTTACTGCTCTGTCAGATTCACCTCTTTGTAGAAATTGGCCTTTAAGAAAAACAAAGTTAATTTGTTTTCTTTGGTGGACTTGGGGGGACAATTCAGAACCTTTATGGTTTCAGGAGTCCTGTGTTGCTATTTAAAGGCAGATGTGACAGGGCTTCTGTTTAAAATAAGTTGAATGACTTGAAAGGTCATGAGTCTAGAAAAGCTACTGGACATTTTGCAAGGAAAATCGAGGTTACTGTTTTTATTCCATTGTACTTGGAGTAAAAAACAAACAAAAACCCCCACTCTTTCCCAATAACACTATGATCTTCGGGTTTGAATATGATGTGGTTCCGTGCTCGCAGGCTGTTTACATGCCTACAGGCAAGGTTCAGGGTCTTCTGTTGTGTTGCAAAGATTAATTTTTTGGCTGTGTCACTTAGCAACCAGACTCCAAATGAACAAATAATTTTGTGTTATATTTGCATTTGATTGATGTGACTTAATGCAATTTGACTAGAAAGAATCTTTCTTTAAGAATAATTTCTGCATTATCTGAATGTGAAAACAAGGGTATGCACAGTCCATGCATACAAATGTTTGCAGCACAAAGAAGAGGATCCATCGTGTTTTTTGGGTGAGTTGGGGGTGGGGGTAATGGAAACAAACAAATCAAAACCAACCGAAATAGTTTTAAGTTAGAGAGATAAATTTGGATCAAGTGTGTTTTATTAATTTGAATGGGACCAAAGAACCAGCATCATGCCAACCTTTGTCTTTACTTGGCATCTCATGTGAGAGAGTTTTCTGCTCTCTAATTATTCCAATAACATTGTTAGGTAGTAGCTATTTTTAACATCTGCTATTTACCCAGGGTTCTTAGTGCCTTGTTGTCTATTGAAAACATATTAGAAGAAGCAACTCCACAAACACAGACAAAACATAATAACTCACAATTTTTGTACAGTATAATAGAGAAGTATATTTGGTTATATCAAATATCTTTAGAAGCTTTTTTACTTTCTTTCTGAATGCCACTCAAATGGAAGTCATTCTTTCCTGTAGAGATAAACCTCATTTGAGTCCAGATTGGTGAGTAGCATAGTCAAAACCAAAGGGAAAAAAATGTTTGTACCCCAAATTAAGATAAATCCAAACAACAGAAAATATATGGAACAAAGATGGAAATCCAGAAAAGGTGTTCCTTGTTATTACATGCCAGAATCTCCCTCAGGAGGGGTTTATTGGAGGAATATCTATATTTGGGTCCTTCTCCCTGCCCTGGAGGCAAGTTGTAACAAGTCCACTTCTCAGAATTAGCTAGAAGGAATTAATCTTTTTGTTTGCTTGTTCGACTGTTTATTATTATTATTTTTTGCCAAGTCAAGTTCAAGTATCAAATGTCATCTGGCTTCTACCTCTTGTTAGCTTCAGTACAGTGGGCCAAAACCTTCCTTTCATTGTGTTTCTTCATCCATTTGGGGGGACATTCTTCATTGCTTCCTATGCCAGGATGTTTGTCTGTAATCTCTCCAGACTCCCACTTTTTCTTATTTTTTCCTCCTTTCTATGTTTTTTTCTACTCAGCAGGTCATAGGCTGCCTTACTAGGTAACTTGTTTACTAAGAAAAGCACCCATGAATTATGAGTGATTTAATAACTGGCCCTTTCTTGAGTACTTGCACTTAATAAGGAAGAGATATACAATGAGAAGAAATCTCAGAAACCAAGGAGATTGTAGTTGGAGGTTATCTAAAATAGCTCACATATTTTATTGATAAGTAAACTAATTTATATTGTGATCTGAAATAATTGGGGTTAAAACCAAAGTGCTTATCCTGAATTTGTAGTAGATGAACTTACATAAGGCTTCTGCTGGATTTTTTCACGAAAGAGAAAAACGTTTCATAAAATGCATGAAAATAGAGAACTCAGATGCCTACTACAGAGGCCATCGTGGTGCCCAGGACCCTTAACTTTTCAAGTGTAGTCTGTGATAGACACTGACTAGCCCCCTGATACATGAAAACAACAGAGCATCACATCTGGGCAACTGTTTGTACATACCAGCCCATGCAGGCCTGCATTTGCCAGCTGAGGTGCTGCCACCTTCACTAGGCAGAGGTTAGTTAGCATCTCTGGACAGCTGTAGTTACAGATTCCCCACATAGCTCACCCCTGGGTCTCTTTGTTCTCTAACACCAGGCAGATGCCTTTAGATTGCTTTGGTCTGAAAGTTCTGAACAGGCTATTCCTGTGGGGCCTCTGCTGTCCCATGCCAGAAGTCGTCCTCCCTTCTAGGGGAATCCCAAAATGAGGCTGAAGTGGGCTAAATCTAAAAGTAGGTGGATATTATCAAAACATGTTTCTCTCCGATTGTTTTCCCATTCTGAAAAAAACTCTCCCTGGCCCCAAGTAGAATGTTCAAGGACTTTACAGAGCAGTTTGGCAATCATGTCAGAGATGCTAACATTTTGTTGTCTTAGTGCATTGAATGGATATTTTAAAATAATTTTGTTTGATATTTCAGAAAGGAAAGGATAAAGTCAAAACCAATAGTGTTTTTGTTTGTTTTTAAACATTTAATTTGCTACCTGATTTTTTTAAAGCATTGGTTAATACTATGACAGAAGTTTCAGTCCCAATATAGGGATCATTTAAAATTAAAGTTGGTTCTTTGCTGGTCTGTTTTTTCCCCTCTCTTCTCTCATTTCTTCACATATTAAGTGTTCTATACTGTGAAACTACAACAAAAAATATTCAGATATGTTTCTACTAAAGTTTAAAATAGATAGTCTGACTTAGTTATTTGAAATCAATGCTGCCCTTTTAATGAACCACCCAAATTACGGCCCAAACTAAAAGGAGTAAGTATCTTTGTGTCCTACCTGAAGCCTCACCTCAAACTTCACATTGAAGACATCAGTTTATCTTTTAAAACACTCTCATTTTCATCTGATTGTCTTCAGGATACAGTATAAGAGGGTTGGCATGACGACTAAGTGCCATGTTCAAACAATAAAATTAAATAAAATTTATTCACCATATTGCAGTACCCCTTTATGTATTGTTATCATTAAAAAGATGTAATAAAAATTGTTCATCTTATAAATTTTTTTTTATTTTAAACACATTTACATATTCTCTACTTTCATTGGCTTCAGGTAGTGAATTCGCATGTGCAAACTGCTTTCATCATGGGTATAAAATTTTTCCTTTTCTTTGAAATAATGCAAAAGCCATTGTAAGATGATAGCCACATATGTTTTAAAAATGCTTCTTTAATAAACATGAAGTAGTTTCACAGTTCTTGAGCTAGAAACCATTTCCCTCAGCAAATCCATAAATGGGATTTTGACAAGTAAAGAACAGCTAATGGTTGGGGATAATATCAAATAACGTATCCTCGAGTCTTGAACCGCCAACTTCACCGTGGTAGAATGTATTATCCTTTGTGGGGGGGGGCTCCCCTCCTTTCCCCCGTGACCATCTGTCTGACGGGGAGAGGGCACCGCCCACGGTGGGGCAGATACCTGCGTAGATAAATCAGTGCCCAGCTGTGAGTTCCTCCTGGGAAAGCACAGAAACCCTTGATGAGTCAGTCCTCCAAAAATAAACCTCTAAGAAGTTTCCGCGCTAAACCAGTCAACACATAAGTGCCAAGAAATAAACTTTGTTAAACAGATGAGGTTGTGTTGGTTCACATCATCTGCTAATGACGGATGTATGTGCTAACAAACTTCATTATTTCTCCCATTTAGAATTGGCAAGAGCTAAATACTCTGATTATATTTACTCCAAGTCTTTTGTTTGTAAAAGAAAGAAAAATCACTGCCCCTAAGTCCTATTTGTCTTCCCCTCCTAAACAGTGTCATAATTTGTGTTTTTCCATTACACAAACACACACTCCTACAATATATTAGTGAATGTGGTTTCAAATTTACCATACATATAGCAGAAGGTAAGTATTAAATTATTGTTCTGTGCATATAGTTTATGGAACTTGCTTGTTTTGCTTTTAACATCTTTGTTTTGACATATACTCATAAACATTTATGTATCCTTTTACTTCCTATATATTAGGCAATTATGGACATATACTATTATGTGTTTTATCTATCTTCTTATGAATGGACTGTTAAGTTGTGTCTGGGTTTTCACTCTGGTAAGCAATGTTGAAGTGAAGCATCACTTCTGTCATGGTTTCTCTTGCCTAAGTGTTACCTTCCTCTGACGGTTCTAGTCCAAGTGCCCTTGTTTCTTTCTCGGTACGTAGCACTTGAAAACATGAGGGAAGCAGCTAAAGAAAGAAGGAACACCTTACACCTTCCTCAGCAACTCCTCAAACCACAGCCCCAATTCCATGTCTCCCTCACACATAGACACCAGCACACCGGAAGCTTTCCCCTTCCCTTTACCATTTTGTGCTTCATATATCACACCCCTGCCTTCCCCATAAAAACCGTCAGAGAGCATTCTGTTGTGTGCTAATCCCCTTCAGGTCTAATCCAACAGTCAAGGGGAAAAACAATGGGCTGGAAGTCATGAGATAGATAGACTCAAAAACATTATTTTAAGATGTTTTCAATGAATACTTCAGGAATTAAATTTAAACTGAAAAAATGATTTTCTACTCAAAGCCAGTCACTAGGAGGGCACGGTGGTCCTGAGGTGGGAGGCGTGGCCTGGGCATCCAGCAGATGAGTGATACTTCTGGCATGCACTCAGAATGACCGCGGGAGTGTCACGCAGCCTCTTGAAGGTTGTTTTCTGGACCCTGAAGGGAGCATTAGTTTCATCCTGGAAGTATTATTGCTATTGATGACAGAGCAATAATACCTGCTGGCAATCACTGAATATTTACTCTGTGCCAGGCACCACATGCGGTACTTTT